GAGCCTGGAGCCTGTTTCGGATTCTGTGTCTCCCTCTCCCTCTGCCCCTCCCCTGTTCATGCTCTGTCTCTCTCTGTCTCAAAGATAAATAAACGTTAAAAAAAATTTTTTTTTAATTTGGCACTTTAGACTTGATAGGAAAATACAGTGCTTTCCAGTCTTTTTTCCATACAGGGACACACACAGAAAATTACATTTGTATGACATACTGGGACAAGCAGATGACAATATTTGTGTCTATAGGCAAATAGTTCAGGGATTTCATCTACTCCAGGCCCAGGCTAGCTATCTTGAGGGCAGAGAAGATCAATATCTTGGCACAGCAATTGAGAAACTTTAGATTAGTGGCTAGATAGAATCTTACAGAGTTCTTCAATTAACAACATGTAGACAGCCTCATTAATATTTCGACTACTGTGCCACCCACCAACCACCATTGCCTCCAAGGACCACCACCATCACTGCCACTACCATCAGGTACCATTTACAGCTTTTTAAAATGTGCCAGGCATGGGCCAAGTTTTGTCTATGCATCGTAATTTAATAGTCACAGCAACCATATGATGTAAATATTATTCATTCCACCGTACAGATGAGAATATTAACATCTAGGGAGGTTGAGTAATCTGTCCAAAGTTAGACCAATAATAGAGTGTCCCAAGCTAGGTCTCTCTGCCTTAGGAATTGGAACTATTAACCACCAAACTTGACTGTCTTTAGACCCCACTAATATCACCTATGAGAAGAGGAAAAGAAGCAAAGGAAGACTCTACTCTTACCAATTTCATCCACAGATTTTAGAAATTTAAATGATTATTACAGTCTCTTTCTATAATAGAGGGTTTTTGTAGGATCGGTGGGGAAGTTACAAAGGAAATATAAGGCCTATCTATGGCTTCAAGAAGCTTATGTTTACTTCAATCCTATTTCTCATGTTTATTAAACAATTAATTAGATTCTACCTGTCAAAATCCATAGTGGCTCCTTGTTTTGTGTATTTGAATTTGAACTGGTATATTTCAGTCACTTTCTAGAAACATCAAATGAAACAGAGAAAGAAATTACTTAAAAAAAGGAAATCCAGAATCTTACCTGATGATAGGTGGAGAATATTTTTATTGTATACCTACTACAATACCATATACCTGTTTGTTTCACAGCATTACATCATTCAGGAGTAATATTTCCAGATATAAATATAGCTTAATTTTTCTCCTCCATGCTAAAAATGAGTTAGATGGCAAATTCATTTTGTTAAGTTGATTTATTATTTTGAGAGAGAGAGAGAGCAAGGGAGGGACAGAGAGAGAGAGAATCCCAAGCAAGCTCCGCACTGTCAGTGTAAAGCCCAATGCAAGGCTTGAACTCACCAACAGTGAGATCATGACCTGAGCCAAAATCAAGAGCCAGCCACTTAACTGACTGAGCCACCTGGGTGCCCCAAGATGGCAAATTCTATTGTTAGTGTTTCAAAGATGGAGAAACTAAGACACAGATTCAAGTATCTGACCCAGCACAGGTAAATGACAGAGAGACCAGTTGAGAATGTATTCATTCATGTAACAGATATTTATGGAACGTCTACTTTGTGTTAGGCACTGGAGTTAAAGTGGTGAACGTGACAAAAAAGGTCCCTGTTTTCCTGGAATACAAAGCCTAGTGAGAGAGACAGTCAATAAGTAAATAAACAAATAAAATAATTTCAGATAGTAATAAATTCTGTGCAGAATATGAAGAAAAAGCTGTTACAGAGAATTGAAGGGAGAGGTGCTAATTTGGTTTAGAAGGGCCAAAGATGGCCTCCCTGAAGGGATGATGATTGAATTGAGCCTCAGTGACAAAAGGAGGTCATGTGCAGATCTGGGGGAGGGGGAGGTATCCTAGGCAGAGGCAATAGCAATGAAAAGTTCTAAAGTAGGGAAGTAAGCCTCTTTCAGGGTCAAAGAGGAAGCCAAGTGGCTGGAGATGAATAAGCAAGTGAGAGAGTGTAGGAGATGAGGATTGTGGAGACTTATTGATCATGATAAGGGGTTTGGATTTTATTCTAAGTAAACCAGAAGTATACTAAAGTGTTTTAAGCATGGTAGTGATTCTCATTTTTTTTAAAGATCACTCTGGTTATTTTAATAGTGCAGAGGGAAGAAGAGAAACCATGAGAGCAATTAAGAGGCTACTACAGTAATTCCAGGAAGACTAGAATGGCAACAGGAAAACTAGAAAAATTCAAAAAGGAACCAGGATCCGGGTGCCCAGGTGGCTCAGTTGATTAAGTGTCCAACTCTCAGTTTCGGCTTGAGTCATGATCTCATGGTTTCGTGAGTTCAGGCCCTGCATTGGGCTCTGTGCTGACAGTGTGGGGCCTGCTTGGGATTCTCTCTCCCTCACTCTCTCTCTCTGCCCCTCCCCTACTCACACTGTCTCTGTCTCTCTCAAAATAAATAAATAAACTTAAAAAATTTTTCTAAATATTAAAAAAAAAGGAACCAGGATCTATGACTTCAGATCTTGCTTTTTGATTCTGCACTAAAAACTAGATACCACTGCTATTTGTTCCCCTCACTGTTAACAAATCTAGAAATAAAAAGGGGCACATCCTCATGAGAAACATACTCCATGTAAAATAAAATGATTGTCTAGTAGTTGAAGCAAACGTTTGGTCCGGATACATTGTAAAGTTTGTCCACATATCTAGAGAAGGTCCTAAAGACAGGTAAAGGATATAGAACACACAAAATGCCCTTCATTCATCTGTTTAAGTATTTGTTCCTTGACACTGTGGGAATGAGGATGTTAGATTGATCAGAAAACGTCTCAATGTTTCTGTTACTTTTCTCTACTCTAAGACTTGGTCTTCCAACTCTGCTGTTTTTAAACCTTAGCAAACAACTTAATCACAGGTGATCAGGTCCTGGGGAAATTGGCTCATGCTGCTTAAACTCTAAAACAACTAATTCACGTGGACTTGATTTAAAAGAAAAAAATTTTTCTAGCAAGACAGTCTACTTGGGAAATCAAAGAAAATTTAGAAGACTGTTTTATGAGTACAGTAGGAGAGGTGTGTGACACTAGAGGTGCCTACAGCGACACGTTTCCCCCAGACAGGCTAGATACGCAACATCCTCTCTTGGCTAATGCTGGGTGTAATTGCCCTGTCAAGCAAACAATGCCTATTCTTCCTGCCTGCCCATGTTTCACAAAGACTCTAGCTTTCTGATACTCTGAGTTCTTCTATTTTTTTAATTATAACAAGAGGAGATCCTTTAGCAGCTGATGATTTTATTAACACTTTATTATTTGGCCCCTGAAGCAATTAATAAAAGAGTTATGTTTGTAATTTTTTACACAGAATGCTAACCTCTTATAACTTCCATCTGACTGATTTATGACAAAAGATATATTTACAGCAGGCATTAGTCTCTTCTTAACATTTCATAAAATATTTTCCTGCTTTTCAGATTAATGTGTTGCCTAATAAAGATGGGCCTTTAAACCACTCAGTGATGGTTTCTGTTAATCATACTGAATCTATTCACAGATACCAAAGCAACAGCAATGTATAACCTTTCTCCTCCCTCCACATTCCGATACACTGGCAAGACCTGTCAGGCCTTTCTCCAAAGCATATCCCAAGTCCACCCATTATTATCTCCCTGTCCAAACCACCACTATCTCTTCTCTTCTCTTCTCTTACCTTTTCTTCCCTTTTCTTTCTTTCTTTCCTTTCTCTTTCTCTCTTTCTTTATACCACTTCTCTTTTCATCTGACCTGCTTACTTGTAAACTATTCGACCAGTAATTCATTCTCTATTCTATAGCCAGAGGGCTTTTGAAAACACAAATCAGACCATGTCACTCCTTTGTTTAAAACACCCCCCAACAGTTTCCTATTGCCCTTAGAATAAAATCCCAAACTACCTTAGCCCACAAGACCTTACACATCTGTCCCCTCTCTACCTTTCTGACCTTATCTTCGGCTTCTTTCCCTCCCACCTGCCAAGTTCCAGGCTCAGGGCACCCTTTCTGTCCATGAACACACAAGATGCCTTCCTGGCTTAGGGCCTTTGCACACCTATACTCTGGAACATGCTGTCTCCAGTTGATGATAATAATATTTGGGCACTGCCCTAAATGCTCTACATTTATTCATTCTTATGCAATCAATGCTCTGAGGTAGTTATTATTTTCCTCACTATACATGAATCTAGTAAGGATTTGACTTCAACACCTACAGTGTTAACTCCTGTGCTATTCTGCCAGTTATGTGCCATTGCCTCTCACAGACCTGCATAGGCTGACTCCTCTGGCCCTTCATGCTTAGCTCTGAAGGCTTTCCATAGACTTCCCTCCAATCCTTCCTCTTCCATTCCCCGCCTTGGCACCCTCCAGCACACACTTTTCTTTTATTTTCTTCATAGCATTATGACTATTTGAAACTCTTTTGCTAGTTTTTGTTTGTTTATTGTTTTTCCTCCCGCATAAGAATGCAAACTTCCAGAGAACAGAGACCTTATTTATCCCATTAACTCCTGTGTTTTTATACCTTGAACAGTGTTAGGCACATAAAGGGAACCCAATTAATATTTGCTGAATTGGGGCACCTGGCTGGCTCAGTTGGTAAGGCATCCAACTCTTGATCTCAGGGTTGTGAGTTCAAGCCCATGTTGGGCCTGGAGCCTACTTTAAAAAAAAATGCTGAATAAATAAATATTCAGCCAGAATAGAGTTTATATTCAATAGGATTTCATTCTTATAAGGAATTTTTTAACACTGAGGTTTCTTTCTTGTTTTTTAATGTTTGTTTATTTTTGAAAGAGAGGGAGAACAGGGAAGAGGCAGAGAGAGAGGGAGACAGAGAATCTGAAGCAGGCTCCATGCTGTTAGCACACAGCCTGCCACAGGACTCGAACTCAAGAAATGTGAGATCATGACCTGAACTAAAGTCAAGAATCAAATGCTTAACCGACTAAGCCACCCAGGTGCCCCTCTACAAGGGTTTTTTTTTTTTTTTAAATGTTTATTTATTTTTGAAAGAGAGACACAGAGTGCGAGCAGGGGAAAGGTAGAGAGAGAGAGAGGGAGACACAGAATCCAAAGCAGGCTCCAGGTTTTGAGCTATCAGCACAGAGCCTAATGTGGGGCTCGAACCCACCAACTGTGAGATCATGACCTGAGCTGAAGTCAGATGCTTAACCAACTGAGCCACCCAGGCGCCCCAAGGATTTTTTTTTTTAAACAAAGTCTCTAAAAGCAAATTGTGACTAGAAACAGGAACCGTGTATAGTTCAGTTCTTGAAGCAATCTATTAAAAGTGGATGCTGACCACCTTCAATAGGCACATAGGAATAGATGGTGAAACAGTAAGATACCTAGCCATTCTTTTTTTAAAAAAAATTTTAATGTTTATTCATATTTGAGAGACAGAGAGACACCGAGCATGATTGGGAAGGGGCAGAGAGAGGGAGACACAGAATCTGAAGCAGGCTCCAGGCTCAGAGCCATCAGCAAAGATGCCCAATGTGAGGCTCGAACCCACAAACTGTGAGATCATGACCTGAGCCAAAGTCAGACGCTTAACTGACTGAGCCACCCAGGTGCCCTGAAACCTAGCCATTCTTTACAGTTTTATCATGCATTAAGTCGTGTAAACCTTTTCTTAACATATTCACATTTTGGTTTACACATCTTATTAATACTCTCCACATATTTTGTAGTATGTGTCTATAGGAAAGCTATACTGTACCTCATCACTATTTTAGTTATCTCTGTCAGTTCATCTCTGTCATGAAATGGAGCAACCAGAACAAAACTGCAAGTATAGGAACACCACAACTTTGTATAAAACTCCATTGGCCCTTGGATTGGGTAAGCACACTTATTTAAGACAGAGGTTCGCGACTATTATTCCATGAGAGACTCTTCACAAAATCACTACAAATTTTAATCCATGTGTAAAATGCTTTTGCCTCAGGTATATATTAATATTGCTATTGTTTGTTTAGTTTTGTTTAGGGAAGAATATACTTCTATAGATATGAATCAAGAAACATGGCACAATATCAGATAAACGCCAAAGAAAGACTGTGTTTATGTGGGAATGTGGTTTTGTGAGTATATAAAAAAATGAGATTAGGGAGGTAAGTAGTTGTATCAGTGGCTTGATGTTAAACAGCAACTACAAAATAGTGCAATCCCATGGATAATTTTAGGCATTATGAACATTGCTATCCCATAGTTATACTGTACTTATTGCTGACTGGTTTCACCTTCTTTTGAGTCTTTTAATACCCTCAAACATGACACTAAAATTTCTAGTAATCAAAAGTGTGCCATGAACACACAGAAATTAGGGATCAGTGCTATACGGAACAATCTGCAAGCATTCAAAATATTAAATATTTTTTCTTGATTATAAATGATAGTTCAGCACCTCATTTTATAAGCTTTTGTTTTCTAACTTCATTATTTTACTTGTATCAAAGCTCATCTAACAGCACCCCCACATACACCCTCCACTTTAAGAGTTTTCTACAGTTAAGCCCAATTTATTCAGCATTTCACTATCTCAAAAGCACTGGTTTCAGACTAGGAGTTTTGTATACATAAGAAAACAAAATAATTAATTGCATTAAGAAAATGACCGATTTATTAACAATTTATCAGAAGGTTTTAGTTTGGGAAACTTCCCTCCAAACCTACAAGGAAAAAAAAAACATTTTGAAACTAAATAAGAGAAAGATAAAAAGCGGTAGTTTGGGGATTGAGGAATTGTTACCCACCTGTATGTACCAGCTTTCTTCCACCTTGCTAAAACAGCTATTTATAATCTTCCCCAAAAAGGATATTAAAAGCTAAAAATGCTTAATTTAGTCTTGAATGCCATCAGTTAGGCTAAATTCATAGGCTTAAGAAAGGAAATTGAAAGCAAAGAAAAGGGAAAAGGAAAAAAAGTTAGGAGGGAAGTAAAGAGAACAGAATGAAAAGAAAGAATAGAGGCCTTCACCTTCCATTTCTGTATCATTGCCACAGCTGCCATTCAAGGTAGCACAAGGAACTATTACATGCCCAGGACTATGAAATTCACTTTGGGACACAGAATACAAGATAAGACACTTGTCCTAAAGAATTCAAAATCTGGTTGGAGAGATAAAGTAATCTACATGAATCAACTGAGAATGTTAAATTGTGAAGTCTTGCTAGAAAAGAAATTTAGAGAAGGAAGAAATTAGTGTGAACAGCATAGGCCAAGAGGCTTTTATGGGAGACTTGAACATAAATTGGCCTTGAGTAGGAGTAGGATTTGATAGGAAAGACGTTTAGAGATAAAAGAAGATGTAAAAATCTATGAAAAGGTCAAAAAGAAGAGAATTTAATTGGCAAAAAGGAGAAAAGTTTAGAATTCTGCCATATTTTCCGGAAGGCCACAAACAGAAAGGATTCAGAATCCTTTAAATAAAGGATTAAAGGTTAAAATAAATAATAAAATGTGATTTTATACAGGCAGAGATTTTTAATTTTAACATGTTAGGGAATAGGCTTTCCTCTATGCTTTTTCTTTAATACCCCTAAGTAGTTTTTAAAATCTCATAATAAATAATTGGTGAAGTTCATAACAAAACACACTGAAAGAGCTCATAATGAGTTACTCTGCTCACACAGTAAGCTAGTAACATAATCAATAGCCTCAACCCAGGTAAACATGTAAATATAAAGCATAATCACATCTCAATGTGTGTTCTTACCTCAGGTTCCTTGGGATTTGTGTAAAGCTGTTTAAGGAAAAATAAACATTTAATTTCTGAAACTTACTAGATTATTCCTCACTGAATACTGAATTAAAAATGCTTAAGTAAATCAAATATCTAAGACTCCCAATAGTATCTTCTGATTTTCTTTCTATTCTTAACTATACATACCATGTTATATCCAGAAGCGCACAAAACTCCAAAAAGTCTACAAAACTGCTTTTAAAAACAAAAACCTCCAAGTCTTTAAAGTAACTCAAAAAACGAAATCCTGATGGCCAATATATGAAGCAGACAGTATATCCTATATACTCCCCCATGTATTATAACATACCTAAGAAATACACAATTTGTGATCTTTTATTAAAACTTCTGATAGGGGCACCTGGGTGGCTCAGTCGGTTAAGCGGCCGACTTAGGCTCAGGTCAC